CTTCAGGCTGTAAGGAGAGAGATTTTTAAGCTGTGGAGTTTGAAAGGTGCGTGTTACTTGTTGACTTCAGGGAGGTGATTTCCTGTTCGTAATGCTCTGAATCGGAGCTCTCCATGGTGTTAGTTACGATGACGTGGAGCCGCCTCTGTCTTGCTGGTCTCTCACGAAGTTTCTCTGTTGACTTCTCTTTACCCTTCTCAGAAAAAACGCTCTTCTTTGAGTGAATTAGAAAGCAGGGAGCCCAACACCGTAATGGTTTGGATGGAAATGGTTTGTGGCATGCAGAGCTGGGCAGGTCTGGAAGTGTCTTGGGGCATCTTTTCTTCAACCCCTGCAACTGGGGTGATGTGGTTACCTGAGAGTCCGGGTGCTGGCTTTTAAAACAGCTATTTCTGCACTGGAAGGCAGGACCAGAAAGCCCCTCAAACACAGTGCTGATGAAAAACCAAATCTGATCTTTCTGACTATCAGCACAGGGTTGGTTTTTTACAAAACGTTCTCTAGAAGGCTGACACATTTGAGATGTTTTCGCCTGGCAGTTGATGCACATGTCCTGAATTTCCAACCTGTACCAAGTCTTGGAAGCAAAAGTGTATTCAAAGTCACATCACCTATGTGGGAGCAAAGCACTGCTTCTGGATGGCCAGGTCAGCTACGCTTACTATGACTGATACATGGAATATATGGTACTGCACTTGTTTCCTTTTGGATTCCTGTTTGTGTTTCCTAAGCTTTCTTTTCAGCAAAAATCACTAATCTCAGCTGAAATGTTCTTGTCGAATGGCTGACCTGAGGATAAAGGATGTTATCAGTAGAGCTTCACAGTGCATACAGCATCCCCAGCTGGGATTCTGGATGCTGCAGTCTGGGTTTTTTCAGCACAAGTCCCAGCTGGATGAACTTTGAAACCTTTTTTTTAATAGAATTGTTTTCAAGAAAGTCCATGGCCAAGTCTGGAAGGGAAAAAGAAGAGAACCTCTCTGCTGGTTTGTACCATCTCTGATCCAAGAAGACTTCTGAAAAGGATGGTGTTTCTTCTCTAAAATGTGGAATATTCACTGGAAGGTTTTGTGCTGACGAGAGCTGGTCCAGTAGAGCAGACGCAGCGTGCTGGTACGTATCTTGCCTTGGCTGTTTTCTGGTGGAAACCGATGAGGAAGTAAGGTGGGAGGACTCAAAAATACCAATGGGTGCCCTGTCGGGGTGTCTGTGTGCTGCGAGAAGGTGGTAGGATCTCTCAGGAGACCTCAGCACCGGTGTGGTTACACTTACAAACTGAATATAACTAATTGCCAGGCAGTTAGAATTAAACACCCAACAGATTTGAAAAGGCAGAGCGGATGCCTCGGCTGTTTCACTTTTCTCCTGCATTCAGGTAAATTGTCAGCTCCCCCTGAGCACTGTTTGTTTAATGACTGAAAAGAAAGCACCTCATCCCACTCCAAAGAGTAAATATCTAAAGTTATGGATTAACTAAGTTCCAGCAGAGCCCATGGTGGAAGAATAGGTCACGCCGATTGCCACTGAATAAAGCTGTAAGTGCCTCAAAAGTATCGTATCCTTCGGGACTTCAGCGTGCAGCTCGCTTTAATGAAGCGTAAAGCTCGTCAAAAATGCCCGGGGACAAAGAGAGGACGCTGGGGCAGATCAGAAGTGTCCTGGGAGAGCTGCTCGTGGCGTAATTTTTTTTAGCCTGGGGGCCTCTGCTGAGCGGCTGCTTTGGAGCTGGAGTCAAAGAGAAAGTCGCGGCTCCACGCAGCATTCAGCGAGGGAGCTGCTCTGAAAGGACAAGGGAAGGGGCTGGCTGAGCTGCCTGAACAGAAACTGCAGCACGGGGGGCGTGCAGCGCGCTCCCCTTCACACCTACCTCTCTTTAGGTGAGTCCTGCTGCAGGATGTGGGCGCTCGTCACCGTGGGGCTGCTGCTGGCTGCCTGCCCTTCACCAGTCTGCAGTACCTCAAGTAAGTGTTCCTTTTGGAGATACCCTTCACCCTCTTGCAGTCGCTGCATTTCCTGCTCTGTCAGTGACGGGGAGTGGCTGGAATCGTTCCCACCAGCGGGGCTTGAATTCCTCCAGCGGAGGTTCACAGGGACAGTGCTGGGCTGCGATGGCTGCTTCCTCACAGCCCTCTGGAGCCCTAGGAGTATCTGAGTATCTCATACTGAGTACCACAGAGCAGAGGCTGGGGCTCATCTCTGCAGCGTGGCACTGACAGCCCGGGGTTTCTGGGCTGTTGCTGTGCTAAAGAGGAGCTGTTGCTCTGCCAAGTGTCCTTTCTGAAGCACCACTGCCAGTTTTCAGCCAGCTCTTTTTCCCGACTTGTGCTTTCGTATTTTTGCTTCCAGTATTTTACAGCAACAGAGATGCAAACCAAGTCCTGAAAATCCAGAAGCGGGCAAACTCTTTTCTGGAGGAGATCAAACCAGGCTCTGTGGAGCGTGAGTGCATTCAGGAGCGCTGTGACTTTGAGGAGGCCAGTGAGATATTTGAAACCAAGGAAGCAACAGTAAGTTGGCTTGTTTTAAGGATGAATGTGAGACTTAACCAGTGAATTGTTTGTTTTCTTGAAGTATTGCAGTCCAGGGCACAGGAGATCTCGCAGTCAGCACTGAGCATGCGGCACTCCTGACTCCTAAGGTGCAGGCAGTTTTGCATGTAACGGGGTTGCAGTGATTGTCAAACCATCACCTGTGTGGGCCATAGAACTTGGCTGCTCGCACATATCCCACCCGGCCTCACTGTGAGGTTTGGTCCCAGCCAGGTCTCACCAATCCCTGCTTGACCTCCCTGCTGTTCTTGCTGCCACGGAGTTCTTCCCAGTCATTCCAGTCCTTTGCCCCCTGTTGTCCATTTGCAGCCCTGACTGCCTTTCAGGGCGATTTCTCTATCACCAAGTCCTCCGTCCTCCAAACCTCATCCTTTCAATTGGACACTGCCTTTATTGGCAGCATCGCTGATTCCTGCCCCTTTCCACACCAAATGGTGCTGGCTCACACTTTTTCTTACTTTTTCTTTTATTGAGGGGTTGTGGTGGTGGTGGGGCTGCAGGCAGGGCAGGGGAGTCTGTGCTGAGCACGGGCAGTATGTGAATGTTTCGTAGTGCTGCTCACTACACAGTCAGGAAGGAGACTGATGGTGTTTGATGGGGTGCTGGGCTCTGCTGGCCAAGACCACGAAACACTTTAAATCCCTTGCTTGTGAAAAATCTGCTTCTGGCCTTAATGCAAGTTCTGTTTCTCCACAGTGGGATTTTTGGAGCAAGTATGTAGGTGAGTAGAAGACTTTTCTAATAGCTTCTCTGTGTTTCCTCAAGAGTAATTAGTCCTCAGTCTTCCCACTGCCATGTATCACAAACTGATTCAAATTCTCGTTCTCTCTTGTATGGGGTGTGCAAAGAATGTTTTCCTGTCCTATCATACAAGCAACCTTCCAACAAAACCTGACGTGCATCTGTGCCTCTCGCCACTCATCTCCCCAGAGCTAAGGCACTGGTGAAAGTGCTCTCTGACCCTCTAACCCTGCCTGATGTGGTTCAAAGAGGAGCCCCACCACTGCTCCTCACTTCCACAGTAACCTGCCTCTGGTTTCGCTCTTCCTTCCCCCTCTGCTCCCTCCACAGCTGTAATTCAAGACCCAAACACACGTCCTTGTCTCTGGACCAGCACACAGCCATGTCACTGTTTGGTGGCCGGAGCCGTGGGTGATGTTTGGGAAGCTGGGGAGGATCTGTTCATGTTAATGTTTGATCTGTGAGCTCTGTGTGGCTCAGGAGCTGAGTTTTCTGCCTCTGTTTCAGACGGGGATCAGTGCGACCCACAGCCTTGTTCCAACGGGATCTGCAAGGACAGTATTGGAAAATTTTCCTGCGTCTGTAACAAAGGCTGGGAGGGGGGTTTGTGCAGTTATGGTAATGCTGCTTTTAATGCCCCATAAAACCATTCTTTGTAGCAAGCATCTCTCTGTAATATGGGTCGACACCTTTGTCGTTGCACAGTGCACTTGTTTTCTTTACTAATGTGATTTCTGTTTGCTTCATGATGTGGTAAAGGGATTAGCTGTGCTTATCTGAAGCAAAATGAACTTTGTATTGCCATGGGGGAGGTTTGGAGACCCAAGATACCTAAATTTTACAAAAATACTGGAAACAATTCTGTAAAGCAGGGTTTTCAGTTACTGCATCATTGTCAGCACAGAGATGATGATGGGGTGTTTTACAATACAGGGGGAAAAATGATCCTCTGCTAGAATTTGTCTGTCATGGCTGTGGCCGTTCCTTCCTTGGACAAAAGCTGCATAGCGCAGTTAGTGCGGAGTGTGTGTGTAGCGTGTCACCAGCACTCTGCACTGTCTGCCTTGCACTCAGTGCAGTGAATTTCCCATTCTGCCTACCCTGGCAGTAATTCTGTTTTCTCCATGTCCCCACTGCCTTATTCTGGAGCAGGGTGTGTTCACTGTCTCAGGGCCTGAGTGCCATTAAACCCCACAGCTGTCATCCCCAAACCATCGTAAGCTGCTGCTTACTTGAATCAGGGTGTCATTTTGCTGCTTTGCCTCACTGTTTCTCTCTGGCTTTCCAACCTCTCCTGTCTCTTGCTGTTCATTTTCTCCGCAGAGGTCAAATACACCAACTGTTCTGTCAGCAACGGAGGATGTGAACACTTCTGCAGGGAGGACCCTGCCAACCAGCGCCGCTATTGCAGCTGTGCCTCTGGGTATCAGCTGATGAATGACCACACCATGTGCAAGCCGATAGGTAAGAGGAGGATGTCTGTAGTCCAGATGTGACAGGGGGTGATTCAAACGTGAAGTAAGAGGGTTTTACGGGAGAACTGGCTGCAGTGCACTTTGTACTCATTTTCAAAGCATCCTTTCCATGCAGAGCAACTCTGCCTGCATTTCCCAACTCCACACCTGCTTTTCATGGCCTTTTACCTCATGGGGACATACAAGGGAATCGGGAAACTGCCTCCTCTGCAGAGCATTGAGGGACTTCCACAAAGCCACTGAAGAGTATTGCCTAGGTTAGAGAGACAGAGGGAGTGCTGCAGAAAGAGGTTTTGTGCTGGGTGGTCTGGTCTCTGCTGGTTGACTTCTCTGCACCTCCTGCAGTGGAGTTCCCCTGTGGAAGAGTGAAGATGGACGACTTTGAAGCCAAGGCAGGATTCACTGTTCGGCTCATTGAGGGAACAGTAGGAAGAAGAGGAGTCAGCCCTTGGCAGGTAAGGAGGAAAGAGCTTTTCACCACAGATAGTTCAGGCTCTTCCCAAACAGCTCTGGCTGCTCCAGAAAGGCTCCTCCATTACTGGTGGTGGTGTCACATGAAGCTAAGATTCCCTTCTTCAAAAGCAACCCAGAAGTTGGAGTAACAAAAAAAGAGTTTATTGGCTGTTGGGATGCTTGACCTTGTCACTGTTGCCTTGCCAACGATGTCAAGAGGAGAGGATGCTGATGACACTCACTCTGTTGCTCCATCCTGGGGAAGGCCACTTGATCCCTGCAGCTCAGGCTGCGTGGTGCATATCCCAGCTGCTGTAACAGCGTTATGGTGGGAATGTGGGGTAATCTTCTCCCCCTGTCTGCACGGATCTGTTCTTCCAAGCCTCATCTGTTGTAAGTTCGAGTTAGCAAATCTGATCAGCAAAATACGCCATAGCTTTGCAGAGCAGGTTGGGACCTCACAGGGAAAGGGGAGCCCTCGCAGAGCATATTGTGGAACTGGTGCATGTGCATATTGGGCCCTGGTTCTCTTTGGGACATTAAAGGCCCTTTTACACCATCGCATGAGAGTTGCAGCCTGAGATAACACCCTGCCTCTGGTGTGCTGTGGGCACAAGAGTAATCCCCTCACTTAGGCTCTGTGTTTTTGAAGTACCAAAGTGCTGCTTTGCAGGGAGCAGCATCGTATTTGGATGAAGCCAGCCCTTATTCAGGAAGGATATTCAAAACACTTCTGTAGGCGTTCTACAGACCTCATTTACAGTGCTTTTGTCCCACTGTGGAGCTTTGTCTTCAGTAAATGTCACATGCTTTGGTACTTGATGTGTCTGGGCGTTTTGCAGCCACAGAGAAGAATGTGTGCAGTATTTTGTAAGCTGTGCTCCATGCAGTGTCAGACCTCTCTCTTTTTTGCGTTTCAGATCATGCTGCAAAATAGCAAAGGGAAATTCCTGTGTGGGGGTGTTCTCATCCATCCGTCCTGGGTCCTGACGGCAGCGCACTGCACTGAGGCAGAGGAGGGGCTCAAAGTAAGACTTGGTATGGAAACAAAGTCTGTGCGTGGTTTTTTAATAGAAGTTTAATCCCCGAGGTTTGCCATCCCAGGAGAAAAGACTGTCAGGTTATGAAGACAGAAGTCCTGGGTTGTAGGAGTGGGTTGTGTAGGGAGTATTTAACATGCACCTCAACACCAAACAAAGAAGTTGAGTGAAAATCTGATTTCATCTGAGCCATTATCAGCCTTACTATGACAGTGAGCTGATGTGTTCTGGGCACTGCTGCTTGTTTACACAGTAGAAAGACCTGGTCTGCATTTGAACACCATTGATTAAGAGAGTTTCAGTAGAGAAGGAGGAGACGTGCTGTGAAATGTCAGCACTGCCTTTACTGGCACTGCTGCTCTTAAGCGTGAGAAAATCTGTGTCAGGTACAGTATTGCTCCTGAATTTACAGACAATTATTAGACAATATACAGACAATAATTAGAAGAGTTCATTGTTGTTTTTTACTTAAGTGGAACTTAAGAGGCATCTGACACTGAATTCTGTGTGGGTATACACAGTAATTTATAGTGTCAGGATGATCAGCAATAGGGCCCTGAATTTCCCTCGCTCCCCTGGCTGCCCCAAAGACCTTTCTTGTTAACAGAGGATGAAGCAAGTCTGTGGTCATGGTCTGAGAGCTCTGACGCAGGAGAGGAGAACCGTTCTCGTTCAGCCTTGAGCTGTGTTGCTGTGGTGAGATGGAGGAGCGGCTGAGGGAGCTGGGTCTCTTTAGTTTGCAGAAGAGGAGACTGAGGGGAGACCTCATTAATGTTTATAAATATTTAAAGGGTGAGTGTCACGAGGATGGAGCCAGGCTCTTCTCGGTGACAAACAATGATAGGACAAGGGGTAATGGGCACAAGCGTCTGAGAGCTCTGTTGCAGGAGAGGAGAACTGTTCTCGTTCAGCCTTGAGCTGTGTTGCTGTGGTGAGATGGAAACCACAGCAGGGTCCTTTCCTGTGGTGTGGGGTGTGTGTGCAGGACCGAGATGGCTGCAGGACTGAGATGACTGTGGCCTGAGGCTGCAAGAGGGAAGAGCTGCTACTCCAGATGCTACTCCAGGGCCAGCAGAAGGAAGCCTTTTTAAGACCCAGCTCACATCACATGGTTGTCCTTTTACATGGGTCTCTTGGGCATTTCACTGCCACCAGAAAAGCAGTTCTCACTGGGAAAACACATGCCCTAAACCCTAGAGACATGAGACGCGTGGAGCAGAGTTTTGAGTGGAGGCATTGCCCTTGTAACGTGGGGGCAGCTGTGAGCTCCATGGCAGCGATGGAAGTGTTCGTGCTGAGACCACAGAGGTGATACCTGGCCTTCCTCTGTCAGCCTGGGATGCCCAGCACTCTTTGGACTCGTCCCCCTGCAGCTCTCTGCTTGCTGCCCATAAGAGCAGAGCTGCAGGGCAAGCTCTGATCTGGGTGTGCACTCGTGAGCCTGGAGCGTTGTCCTGTAGCAGGACTCATGTGGCTTTGTGGTGTCTGAAGTGAGACGTTAGATCTCAGAGTAGCTGAAGTTTTGGAAAACGGATTTGGGAACAACCCAGTTTTCCCATTTGTGGCTCTTGTTCCTGCATCTCCAGCTTAGAAGCATCCAGAGGTGTGTTCGGAGCTCCAAGAAAACACAGCAGTATCTGAATGTAGTGATTCCATTCAAAACATTGCCTCTGCCTTCAGAGAACAGAGCTCACACTTCCCTGTTTATGTAGAACTTCACGGGTAATGGTTTTCTACGAGAAACAAGATTGTGATGCTCCTCATTGTGTTATGGGAACGAGGTGCATTTCACACAGCCTGTACGTTCAGTGCATCCTGGTGTGGGTAGGACTTGAGGAATCTGGGACTCTTGGGGTGGATAAATCAACCAAGAAAGGAAGACCTGGGTCACGCAAAGTCTTGGTTTTGGAGTCTGTCACTGGAGCAATTCAAATAACACTGACAGAAGGCAAAAGCTAACGAGGAGAGGGGTGGGGGAACAAATGTGATGGGTAATATTGTGAAGCACGCGCTTGGAAAGGTGAGGATCAAGAGCAACGTCCAACTCGTTCGTAGAGAGGCCAAGAAGGAAGGGACGCTTCTGTCACACCCGTGCGGCGTGGGCAGGGGTGAGGTGTCAGCCCGGGGTCCTGCCACCTCCTGTGCCTGGACCTGGGCCTGCCTGCAGTCCCAGCGTCACGGACAGTTCTCTGAAGAGGGGTTTGTGTCAAGCACACACTGAAATAGGCCTTGATATGGAGCTTAAATCAGCCACCAGCACAGCTCAGAAATGTGGCGGCCGCTGATAATTGTTCTCGGAGCGCTGTTCACAGCCTGCCAGAGAGATCTGTTTGTCTTCCCTTTTCCAGTGTGTTGCAGATAACTTCTTGCCTCTCTGGCCCTTTCCAGCTGAGCTTCCTGCTTACTGCTCTGTAACTGCTTGGCCTACAGAGTGGCACAAAATACAATTGAGAAACCTTAAATAGTCAAAAATTCCTTCAAATACAAGTGCAAGACTTCAGAAAGGAGAAGCCTTACGAGTCAGTCATCTTTGTCTTACAGATCCTGAGGTTCAGTCGTTCACTGGTTATGCAGTATGAAGCTCATGTACCGTTGTAAATGTCTTGCTTTGCCGTGTGTTTGCTCTCCCAGCTTTTAATGTTGACACCCAGGAGATGGTTTTCCTCCTCAAGAAGAGTTGCACGCGTGTGCTGTATTATTAACATCGTAGGGCAATCAGAGGCATTGCTCAGGGACAGCCATAGCTCTGGGATGCTCATTAGCGGACTGTGTGTATTTGTGATTTGGGAAGTTTACAGATTGGTCCACCTGGCGAGAGCGCCCTTAGCCTCTAACAGGAAATGAACAGACAGCTGTGTTACAAAGGAAGTGAGAAGGTGAAGTTGAGTCCCAAAGTGTCCAGCCCCTTTGGAGTGCCAGGTGAAGGAAGGTTGGGTAGCATCGGTCACCCTCTCGTTTGCTCTTCCAGGTAAATTCCACCGCCTCCGTACTGAGGCAGAGGAGCAAACCATTTGGGTTGACAAACACGTGAGCCACGAGAATTACACCAAGGCGACCTCCGACAACGACATCGCCATGCTGCACTTGGCCGAGCCCGTCATGTACAGCAAATACGTGCTCCCCATCTGCCTCCCCAGCCGCGAGCTGGCAGAGAAGGAGCTGACGAGAAGCGGGAGGCAGATGGTGGTGACCGGCTGGGGCAGCACGAGCGACGTCAGCAACAACTACTCCACTTTCCTCAGTTACATCCAGATCCCCATGGTTCCCCGCGACGAGTGCGCCCAGGCGATGAGGTTTGCTATCTCAGACAACATGCTGTGTGCCGGCAGCCTGGGAGACAGGAAGGACTCCTGCAGCGGGGACAGCGGCGGCCCCATGATCACCAGGTATAAGGACACTTGGTTTTTGGTAGGACTGGTGAGCTGGGGCGAAGGCTGTGGACAAAAGGAGAAGTTTGGAGTCTACACCAAAGTCAGTCAGTACCTGGAGTGGATCCAGCACCACATCGATGGCATGGCAGCTGCTTTGAAGGGTTGATTGCAGCAGTGAGTCTGGAATGCGGTGGCGATGCGCCCGTGGCCCTGCAGTGGAATGTCCTGTCAGATCCTCAGTATTAAACGTTGGGTAGATGTTAACGGTGTGTGCTGTTTTCCTTGGTACCCCTTTTTCTTACTTCTTTGGGGTTTTTTCCTTCTTTTTTGCGCTGTTTACACTGGTAGATCCAGCTGCTGTTTGTTTGTAGCATGGTCCTACTTAGGCCTTACAGGCAAGAGCTGGCAGCCTGCTGCACTGAGATGCTGTAAAGGATTATAGAGCATAGAACAGTCCCTGGTCAGACATGGCCATCTCTCAAGTGTCAAATGGCCACATTGGCTGGGGTTGGGGGCAGGAGCGGGCACAGGGAAGCGTTTCAGCAGTCGCTGTGGTGGTGCAGTTCTGTCACTGCAGCTTTTCTCTGCCACGTTATCCACAGTAACTGGGCTGCTTTGCTCTGTATTTGTATCGTTTTCCTTTCAGCACAGTGACATTTTAATAACGTCATCACTGCCTCCACTCGTTCCCATCCTGCTCCATTGCTCGCAGATCAAGTTGGTTGAGCAGGTCACTAGAAGAACTTTTCCATATTTCCTGTTCCTTGCACTCTTGATGTCTGGTTTCCCCCCAAGACTTCCTTAAAAGTCAGTGGGAATTCTGGTGTTCTTAACCAAAAAAAGGTTTAATCCAAGCTTTCTCTGTTTATCCTAAGCTCCATCCATCTCTTCTAATAGCAAGCTAAGCTCATAGGAAGTAGTAACAGTAAAAATAAAGTTTAATATCACAACTTGTGCTTGGTTTTAATCTTAGCACTCAAGCCTGCGAGGTAGAATTAATCGTAGAGGAAAACCAGAAGTGAAACTCACTCTGCCGTAGTGAGCTGCGTTTGCCACATCTCAGTCGGGGTTTGGACCCCTGTTTGGATCAGTGAAGTCCAGTCTGCGTGCACCATGAGGTTGTTGGATGGAAACAGCCTCGGGTACAACCAAATTGTGCAAAGATTTGTGAGAAATTGAATGTGGTGCCAGCAAAGAGGTTGAACACCTCTGAAACCTGTGGACTTTCAAGCTGCTGAAACCGAACTCTGTGGCACTGTCTCTGCCTCTCTTTTTCTTGTTTTTTTTTACCCCTTTTCTCCCCTTTTTTATTTGGGATTTCATTTAAGGATCAACAGATGCTAAAGATGCTCTGAGCAGCCGCCTCCCAGCCGGGGCCCGCACCACGAGTTCCTGCTGCTGGGGAGGCTGGCGTTGAGTGAATTACACCGTGAGGCACAAGTTAAAACGTGGTTGTGCTCAAAGCCAGCAAAACACGGGACTGATTACAGCCAGAAATGGCAAGATGAGGGAATGGCTGTGACTGCCCCCGGACAGCGTTTGCCTTCCTGCAGGTGGCTGCTGTGACCCTCCTGCACACTCCCAGCTCTCCCTGTTCCAGATGGTTCCAGAGCAGCTCTGTGTTCCAGATCTGTTGGTCTCACCTAGAGAAAGAGGATGAAGCATCAGAAAGCTCTTAAAAATACCTTTTCCTGAAGACAATTCTTGCACAGAAGTGGCTTTCGTGTTAGAGGATGTTTTTAAGGACTTGTTTGCTGGTTTCTTTAATGCACATGTGCAAACATATGAACACACACAATTTTCTTCTCATTTTGGATTGCAAACGTGTTTCAGAGAAGCCAGCAGGCTGTCTCTCCTCTGTCAATATTTGTGACTGGTTAATGATCAGCCTCTTGACCTCGTGGCTGTTCCTGGTGTGCATCCAAATCTCTTTCCCGTCTTCCCTTAAAAAAAATAAAGAGAAAAGTGAGTATACTTGCGGGGTTGTGTGTAAAGTGAATGCGTTCTGGATCCTGTGTTTGTGGAAATATGATAGCGAGGAGGTAGGTGCTGTCGAACCCTGGTAAATGGTTCAGCTGAGGGAGGTGATATGAAGAAACAGGGACTTCTCTCTTGTGCCTTTTCCTGCCAGGCGTGGGGGGGTTGCACATAGGGTCTCTGACGAGCCCATCAGTAATTACACAGCAGCCGCTGCCTGCAGCGCGCAGCTCTCACCTTGGTGGTTTGAGCGAGGCCGTCGCTGCAGTCGGCTGCTGCTGCTCTGGGCCTGTGCTGTGCCTCCTGTGTCCACGCTCACGTTTTCATTCCCTTGGGCTTGGGACCAGACCCCGCACCGTGCCTGGGCCAGGTCGATCTCTGCGCGTTGGGATCCCTGTTGTTGCCTGCAGCGTCGTGCAGGCGGTGGCCGTCAGACCCAAATGAACTGGGTGGAATTGGCTTTCCTTGTCCTCTCGCTTCTACTTCTTAACCTTTTTGTGCCAGCTCATGCACCTTGTTGCGGCAGTGTGCGAACTGCATCCTTCTTTTCCCTCTGCAGGAACTCAGCAGGACGTTGGGGCATTGCGAGCGCTCGCTAGAATGGAGAGCAGCTCCTCGCTGGTGCTGCTTCTCCTGCTGACGTGCTCCGTCGACAGCAGCTCTCCACTTGCAGGTAGGAACTTCTGAGCTACGTTTTTATTGAGACAGCCTTGGCATTTGAACTGAAACTCTGATCTTCCTCTGAACAGAAAGCTCTGTGGGTTGAGGAAGCACTTCCTGAAAAGCAGATTCTCATACATATGTAGATATATTTCCAAGAGAAATCAGTCTTTCTTGACTTCCTACTTAGACCATTGCCCTGCTGAAAAGTGTTCTCCTTGGGATGTTCAACCCAGAATCCAAATTCTTTTTGTATGGCAGTGTTTTCAGATTTGGGAAGCTAAAATCAGACACTTTCACTTAGACCTTATGTTGATGTTACTACAATGACACAAAGTTTGGAAGCAGCTTAGGAGAGCTTTAGGGTGAGAGCACGTGGGATGTCGGGAATCAGCGGTGTCCTTGCAGAGGAGGAAGAGCAGCAGCAGAACTGATTCTGCAGACCAGAGGCTTTACAACAGGCACATCCTCTGCGCAGTGGTGCTTGCAATAGGCACAGCCTCTGAAACCATCCCAGAACCCCAGGGCCATTTCACTGCTGTCAGTGAGACTTGTTTTCCATTACCAGAAAGCAGGATCTGTCCGAAGCTTTTCTCAGCTGAGAGGTTTTGTCGGCTGTTTCTAATTGCCCAGAAATTAAACAATTCATTATTATTGTAGGATTTCAGCCATTGCTCTACATACCAGTGCTGCAGCTGCAAAGAAACATGGGTCTTTGTGTCTGTCTCCAAAACCGGGTTCAAGAGGGTTTTGACTTGTCAGGACACTGAACCGTGAGCAGGCAAACCCAGTGCTGTTACAGACTGCTGCGTGAATTTGGCTTTGTAGGGATTTCAAGGCCAGTTTGCTGCTTCAGACACTTCTGAGCAGCGGTTCTCAGTCGGGTGGGGGTTTTGGGCCACACTTGTGAAGATGGAACAAAAAGGGGGAAACCTCGGTCTGTTCTAGAGCAGGGCTCCATTCTGTGCCCGCACTGAGCCGTCTGAGGTGCCTGCACTGGCACTTGGTGTCCGTGCGTCCTCAGGGGCTGAGCGAGCCCTGGTTCCCTACAGAGCTGCACAGTCCTGGAGCGTGGTGCTACAGCAGAGATCGGCAGTGGAGCCTCAGGGGCTGCAGGGAGGATCTTGGACCACAGTCCCTCTTCTGGCCTCTCCTCCCTCACGTTATTGGCAGTGGTAGCTCTTCAGACATTGTGGTAGGAGGGCAGACAGCTTAGAGAGGAGTCGTTGAGGTGAATATAAGCACAAACTGGACACTTTATGTATATCTTTTAAATGAAGGAGCCGTGTCTGTCCTATTTTGGCCAAAGCAGCTGCCTGAAAATCACTGGGTCTATCACTGAGCATCTGATAAAGCTGACATCAAGTACAAACCAGACCTCTCCCTTCAGCTTGCTTTCCACATGCACACCCAGCCAGTAAACCAGCAATCCTTGTGAATCAGGCAGAAGATAGAACCAGCCTCCAGAGCTGCCAGACTTGAATCTTGTGAAATCACAAATGATTTCTGTGCTGATCTGCGTGTCTCAGTAGTGCATCCTCTGAGCCACTGAAAGGAAGCTGCAACTACTCGTGTGTTTTGCTGGACCCAGACTAATGTTGTTTTCCTTGGTCTGTCTGTGGAGATCCCCCAGCTCCTTTGTCATTTACCCAGCTGAAGGAATGCTCTGTAACGATGCAGGTTTGTGCTCTTCCCATATCATTAACGCTCAGTTTTGTTTTTCCAGTGTTCCTGAGAAAAGACGAAGCCCATGAGGTGCTGAAGGTCCACAAACGTGCCAACTATTTTCTGGAAGAGATCCTTGCAGGGAACTTGGAGCGAGAATGCAACGAGGAGAAGTGCTCATTCGAGGAGGCCAAGGAGATCTTCCACTCACAGGAGAAAACGGTGAGAAACTTCACTGTAGGAGCAACAGGAAAGTGCAGAGCGAGCTGTAAGCAACCCCTCCCAGGGCACCCATGGCTCTGACAGGCCTGCCCAAAACCAGAGGTGTCCAGATCCTGCTGCGTGCCCGAGCTGCTCAGGCGATGTCTGTCATAGCGGGCAGTGCAGTGCAGCAGAAACAGCTCTGCCGTGTGGAGTGGTTGGTGCTGAGGGCCTTGCATGGACGTGTTTTGGAGCAGGTCCCTTCAATCTCCTGGCAGCGTTTGTGCCTCGAGGTTTCAGTTTAATTTTCATCCCAGTACGACCCAGTGCAAACCAAAGGGAGCTGCAGGGTGGCAATCAGGGGATCTGCTTCCAGAACGCATTGCATGGCTCCAACACAAACCTTGGTTCAGATGCACCCTGAAAGTACTTTTCTAAATGCTGTCTTCAATAACCAGCGACCACTGAGTGACTCTTCTTCATCTGTGATTTCTTCCTGCAGATGGAGTTCTGGTTCAATTACAAAGGTAGGTCAAAAAGAAGTTTAAAAACACGTGGGATTTGGGTGTTCTGTCTGGGTACAAGGAGCTCTGTGACCGTTTGAAGCCAGGCTTCTCTTTATTCCTGGAGCTACACCCTGCCTTGTTTTTTCTTCATAGGTTTAAATCCATGCAGTACGAATCCCTGTAAGAACGGTGGACTCTGCACAATAAGACACTACAACTACTTTTGCATCTGCCCCCCAAGATTTGGAGGAGACAACTGTGAAAAAGGTGAGCGGAAGGACAGACACACGGATGTGGGTTGTGAAGGAGAGACTGAGACTGGGATGTGCTGCTTGGACACCTGAGCTGAACCTTTGCACAGGCTTCAGCTTGGGGTTATCGGTGGGGACTTGGACACAGAACTGGCTGTGCCAGCGGCTGCTGGTGGCTCTGTGGTGTGGGACAAGAGGGGATCACCCTCCCAAGACACCGCTGGGCTCTGGGGAAGGCGCTGGCCTTTCCCATCTTCCCCCAGGACAGGAAATCACCTGGTCTGAGCACTTCAGAGTGAGACCAGGTCTGGTAACTCCTGCACTGGAGATCCTCCAACATTGAGGGAGTGGAGCATCTCCTGCTGAGGAGCGGCTGAGGGAGCTGGGGCTCTTGAGCTTGGAGCAGAGGAGACTGAGGGGTGCCCTCATTCCTGGGGATCCGTTTGGAAAGGGCAGTGTCAGGAGGAAGGAGCCAGGCTCTGCTCTGGGATGGCCAATGGCAGGACAAGGGGCAATGGTCCCAAGCTGGAGCACAGGAGGTTCAAGCTGAACATGAGGCCAAACTTTGTCAGGGTGAGGGTGGCAGAGCATGGCCCAGGCTGCCCAGAGAGGTTGTGGAGTCTCCTTGTGTGGAGATACCCAAAGCCCTGGCCGTGTTCCTGTGTGACTGCTCTGGTGATCCTGCTCTGGCAGGGGTTGCACTGGGGGAGCTTTCCAGGGCCCTTCAACTCCTCACAATTGGAATTCTGTGATCATGAGGCCCTGTTCTCTTTTTGACTTGAGTAAATGCATCCAGCAAATTAGCCAGGGCTCAGTGTAACCAAAAAAATGTATTTATGTTGTAATATGTGAATGATGGAAAACGAAATTGAAAAGCTGCCTATCTCTTACCACATTTTTGATCCTCTAATACTGTGCTGTAGCCAGTTTGCAGACAACTGAGGCATGAGATTACAGCAAAGCCAAACTGACGTGCAAACTGTGACTCTCAAGTAGTTTTTTTTCCCCCCAAGTGCTTTTTTCAACCTTTTATTTTTACAGTGAAGCAATTAAACCTGATTTCTGTAAAAAATGTAGCTGTATAAAAAAATCTCAGTCAATTTGTAGCAGACTCGGCTCCCACCGAAGTATTTGATATCTGTCAGAGTATGAGATCACATACAGTGCAGATGGATCTAAAGTGGACTCGTTTACAAGGGGTTGCTCTTGCAGGCGTTTTCTTGCCCCTGCTCTGCAGGCAGAGAGGCCTAGAGCCCGGCCACGGCCTTAAGACAGAGCTGGCAAATACGTGTGTGGTAGAAACAGGCAAACACCAACAGGCATGGCAGTGGGTTTGGTTTGCTGCAAATCAGCGCAGTTTTCTGCAGCCACGAGAGGGTTCTTGTTTCCCTTTGCGGTCTCAGCAGGTTTTTCCTGCTGTCTTTCACGCAATGAAAGCTGCTCAGGGGTCCACGTGCAGCAATGCTGAAGCGCGTGCCCGTGTGCTTCCTCGGCAGAGAGGCAGGAGTGCTGGTACAGGAACGGCGGGTGCTGGCAGTACTGCCGGGACAGCAGCAGCGCCTTCCAGGTGCTGTGCTCCTGCGCACAGGATTACAGCCTGCAGCAGGACGGGAGGAGATGTGCGCCAGCAGGTAACGCTCGTGCTTACTGCGGGGAAAGGGCACAGCGTGTAGGAAACACCCGTGTCACTGCGTGTTCTGTTTGCTGCCAGTGTTAACGGTGCCTCTAAGCCAGGGTGGGCACAGGGGCGGCAGTGCAGGCTGGGCTGTAACACAGCACAGACGTAGCTCAGCTTAACGGAGTCATGCAGCTGGACCTCAGTGTTGGGAGGTGAGGGGACACGACAGGGGCCTTTACACCTGGGTGTGAAGGGGACCTGTCACGAGGGGAGCGCTGGAGCTGGAGGCTGCCCTGGAGCCCTCAGCAGGCTGCTCCTGGAGCCTTCAGGCTGCCCTGGAGCCAGCCACGGCCCATGTCCACGGCTCAGAAAAGACACGGCCTGTGCTGCGTTTGTCAGTGATGAGCTCATGCACCTGAGGGATGGGGATGGGCAGGAAGGGCAGTGTCATCGAGGTGGCAGAGTTGTTCTGGGGCGGAGTTGCCCGTTCTGGGACAGAAGCGCTGCTTTTGCGTTGTCGTTTGTTTGACGTGGCACCGTGCACCCCAAACGCAAATCTTCCTGTCTCTCCTCCCTCCAGCACCGTTTCCCTGTGGCCTGGTTAAAGCCAGGCAGACTCTGGAGGAAGAGCAGCGGGGGCAGAGCAGGCTCCCGAGGGCACTGAGCGAGCGTGGGGATGGCGTGGCCGAGCGGAACGGGAGCACAGAGGGCACGGGTGGATGGACGGAGGTGGCACAAAGTGCTCCTGGGGAAAACGAGACTTCAAAGGCTGCCTGGGGGCACAGTGTGCTCATGGAGGGTGACACGGGACAAACCCAGGTGGCAGAAGATGCTTCCAGCTGGGACAGGACGCTGGTGGAACCCGTCACCCGGCAGCCACTGGGCGTCCCTGCGCAGGACGGGGCCGGGGAGGGGACCGCCAGGCCTCGCAGCCCTGGGACAGGCTTGGCGCAGTGGAGTGAGCCCACGCGGGGCCCAGCATGGCAGGATGAGACCACAGCACCCACTGCCATGCGGGAAAACGCTGCTGGGCAAAACCAGACGGGGCAGGATGCGGGGCAGGACGGAACGGCCGCGCACAGCGGGCTTGGGCAGAGCAGGGGAGAGGCTTTGGACACTGCTCAGCTCACCCAGCCAAACGTCAGCGCTGCCTTGGAGCACCATGACTCCAGGATAACGGGAGGAACGCTGTGTCACCGCGGACACTGCCCCTGGCAGGTAACGCTGCTCTTTCCTCTGGCCAAAACCACCCCACCTGAACGCTGTCTTACCCAAGCATCACTGGTGCAGCTGGAGCAGGAGAATCTGTCATTACAAAGCTGTTTTTCAGGTCAAGAGCAACCCAGCCACGTGGAGTTCTCCAGCTTCTGCAGGTCCTCCTGGTCACCTTATTTGTTGTTCTTCCCCTGTCCTAAGTACATGTGCTGGTGTGATCTCAGCTCAGTACTTCATTACCTGTGCCTGTCATCTCTTACCTGTGTCCATCACATCTCATGCTCTTTTATTCGGGTTCTTTGTTGCTAAATGTTCTTGGTGCAAAAGCTGCTTCTGACCCCTGTTGGAGTGGGTGGGGATATTGGTCACCAAAAACTTTCTGAGACCAGGTGAGGTTCTCCATTGAAACACTGAGCGTCTCGTGCTGGTTACGGGGAGGGAGGTAAAGCTAAGAGGGCTGAAAGGTGAAGGCAAGCAGGGGAAACCCATCTCAAGTGTCTCATTTATTTCCACTATCTTGGTTGGGTTTTTTTGGATGGTTGTGGTGGTGGTTAAATCTTGATTTTTGGGGCTTTTTTTGTGTGTGTGTGTGTGTGTGTGTGTGTGTGTCCTTATTAGTTAGGATTTTTTTCATTGATTGTCTCTTTCATCAGTGTGCTGTTACTGTTTGTGGGCCTGTGGATCACAAGCAGCAGCAGTGCACAGAATGAAGTTCATCACCATTTTCTGCTCCACTGCCACCACTGGCAATCATCATTTAATGAGTTTTACTGGCACCATCTTTGCTCGGTGCCCTGTGGTCATTGCTGCCACTGCCAGTGCAGAGGCCCCTGACCACGCATCGCCCTCATCTTCCATGCAGGTGCTGATCCGGAACAGCAAAGGAGTCGGTTTCTGTGGAGGGAGTTTAATCAGCAGCCGCTGGGTGGTCACTGCTGCTCACTGCCTCGACGTTGTCAGACCTCACCACGTCACTGTAGGTACGAGTGCTTTGTGTACCGGATACACACAGGTGTAAGCTCTTACTGTGTGCTTTGTGGTGTAGGTGACCCCGGCAGGGTATGGTGAGGAGCAGCCACATCCACCCTGACCCTGACTTAGTGAATGCTCCCTGTTCCTGGCAGCCGGTCAATGCAGAGGGGCTGCAGCGGGGCCCCTGGCAGCAGGAACGCTGCAGTGAACACAGCCTTGTGCTGGAGGAGCAAAGCATGGACACAACTCCATGGCTGCATCTAATGCTTGCGTATGGCACGGTCCTGAGGGGAAACACAGAGTCCTGTGCCAAGCTGTTCAGAGTGCAGTGCTTACTACAACGTACTGACAGAGTGTGGTGAAATCCCTGCATGAGCTCAGTGCGTGGCTGTGGCTGTTGATGGTTTGCCCTTAAGGAGCAGAGTGGTAAGCTTGATTTGCAGGATCCCATCTGCAGTTTAAGAAATGACTGTTACAGAGCATGCTCTGTGCCTGCTTGGGATGAGAGGTCTAAGCACCAATTCAGTCCTTCCTGTTCCCCGCTGCTACACCACACTGGCTGTGTTTGCTGTTTGCTGAATGTTTTAACTTGTCATGGCTCCAGGAGACTTCGACAAATACCAGAGAGAATTCAAAGAGCAGAAGATCGACGTGGAGCGGAGCTGGACGCACCCCCACTACGATTCCAACGCCTACAACGGCGACATCGCCTTGCTGTACTTGAGCAGCGCCGCCGTTTTTAACGAGTATGTCATTCCCATCTGCCTGCCCAGCCCCAACCTGGCCTCCCTGCTGGCTGAAGAAGGAAGAATCGGGACGGTGAGCGGGTGGGGAGCCACGCACGAAAGGGGGTCGAGCCTGCGCTTCCTGATGAAGGTGCGGCTGCCCATCGTGAGCATGGAGAGCTGCCAGCGCTCCACGGACCGGCTGCTGACCGACAACATGTTCTGCGCGGGGTACGGCACCGAGGCGGCGGACGCCTGCAAAGGGGACAGCGGGGGCCCCTTCACCATGTCCTACCACAACACCTGGTTCCTCCTGGGGATCGTCAGCTGGGGAGAGGGGTGTGCCCAAAACGGGAAATATGGGGTGTACACCAGGGTGGCCAACTACATCCCCTGGATCACGGAGACCGTGGAGAGTGTAGCCGATTCAGAGAGCTTTTCCATTAACTTTTCTTAATGCCAGCTTGCGGTCCAAGACACCATGCACAGCCTGTCCTCCATGGTGTCAGAAAAGAATCAGTATTTTCTTAGAGTCTGTTTGGCATAAATGGTTGCACTGCTCGTTCAAGTATTGCTGAGTGAAATACTTGTGGATAATAAAGAACGATGCTGCAAGTAAAGGGGACAACTGCAACTTCTCTAAATGTAAATTCCTATCAGAAAGGCACTCATTTTTTTAAAAACAAAAAGCTTTCAGAGAAATAAGGCAGCAGTCCTAGGTGGGAATGACTTGGAAAAGGAGCTCATTTGGGCAGTGGTGTCTGCTCTCCCACCGTGCTGAACGCAGCAGTCAGGGATGGGTGAAGTTTGGTCACTTTTCTTGGTTAACTTCTTGGCTTCCTAACAAGTTAGTCAAAGCAATTATTTGTATTCATTGCATTAATGTTAGTCTTTGTG